CATCAAGCTACGATCCATTTCTTCGTCCCGATGGGTGAGTAGCCCTCTTCTTACTCATGTACCCAACTATCTAAGGAGCACTATCTTGGGTATGATCGATATTTCCCAAAAGGCTGACATATATTCCACCACAGGCCTCAAACAGTGGTTCATATCTTCTGGTATTCCAGGGCATAGGGTCACAGAACTAGACTGGTGGCACGAGACACTCCTGACCTTCCCTACTGAGAGCTCACGATATCGTGATGCCTCTTTCGAAGCCGACCCAGCCCTACAGCACAGCGATGACACCTATCCTCCGTGCACAGATGTGGAAGACGAAGAGCCCCGCCTCTCGACAGAAACAGACTACACCGCCTCTTCGTCCTTGACGATAAAACTCGCGTTCACGCCTGCGCAGCATCGAACAGGAAGAGGAGTGTTTGATCATATGACGACGTTGTGGGGAAGCTGGTGTCTCGGTGTCATCGAGGACGAGGATAAGGGGTTGGTGGGGAAGAGGGGGATGAAAGGGTGGAAGGGCTTCAAGGTGTTTTTCGGAGGGTGAGTTACAGGCGCTTCAATGGCATACGTATAATCGCAGTTAGGGCTGTTACCGGGAAGATTCATCAGTTCTGCCAGCACATTGGCGGTGTGTTTCAAGCTGGATACTGATTCGGTCCGAATAATCAGTGATACCGGCTTTCGGTATGCGACTGCTGAAGACGGAGACGAATCGGCGGTCTGTCCTGCGTTTGACCGTGAGTCGTCTTGCCCCCGTATACGATTTGTCAATTCAGCTCTATTGTGTCGAATACCAGGAAATCAACTGACCCGCTTTCGGTGCTCTTGGGATGCCTCACTGGGATCGCTACTCTGTAGAAATCGCCGAGCAATACTCCCCGTTCGACCTTTCCCTACTGCCCCTCTCAACGGGATCTTCGCTCCCTTTCCTACGCACTGTCCTCTCCCTCTCATTGGACCAATACACACTCACCTCCTCACTACACTGTTCCCCCGCGGACTCACTGGAAATACACCGGATCATACAAGCGGAGAGAAGCTTGGGTATCCACTGGGGAACGTTCTGCGATGCCGACGAAGCAAGAGGTACGAGAGTCGATTTCGGACGGTGTAGACGGCGAATAGGTGTTTCCGGATCTTGGGATGGAGAGGAAGATGAGGATGAAGAGGGGAAGGGGAGGTTTGTTGTCGGTGATATTGGTCAAACGTTTGTCTTACCCAAGAGCAAAGGGTGATTTGTACTATTGGCAGGTGTATTCCATCTAGATTGAATGTCTGAATTTTCCCGACACAAGCAGGGTATACATACATAGATACACGGCGACATGAACCTTACAACGATGCATATGACTGTGATGGGCCTGATACGATACGGAAGGGATTCAATGAATTTTCCCCCAGGTAGTGGTTGTAGTTATCGGTCGTACGAGGAGATAAGCTGGAATGCAATGAGTCGTACATATGTGAGGGCAGTAGTAGAGATTACCTCACCTGTCACCTGCCCCTGGCCGCCAACTCCTTCTTCCTCTTCTCCTTTGCAAGTTTCCTCTCCCTCTCTTCTCTCTCAGCTTCCTCATCCTCCCTGCGTGCGATCCTTGCCGCCCTTCTCTCTTCGACTTCCACATCGCTCAGACCAGCTTCCATATCGCTCGACCCGTCATCTGAGATATCGTCTTGGTATCGCCTCGAAGGTAAAGGAGCACGACCCGGACGACGGAACATTGCTTGGATTTCTGCTGAGACGTCGAACTGCGATGATCGCTCGTTCAGCCGCAATGGAGGAGATCGGTCTCTGGCGTTGTAGCGCTTCTTACTCGGGCGAGGGGACGAAGAGATGTCGGAGTCTGATCCGGACCCAGAATCGGAGGACGAAGGGGACGGTCGTCGCTTGCGCGGCAGATTTGCGCTCGCTATTGCCGCAGAGGACATCACAGATATAGGCCGTCCCCTGTCGTCTAGTCTTGATGGTGGCTTCATTCCTGTTTTGCTCGCTGAAGAACCATTCGTATTCGTATTCAATTGGACATGGCCATATTTTCCACGCTCAGGCGACCGCTTCTTGTCCCTATCCCGATCCCGGTCTCTAGCTGACCCAGGATTTGGCGATACATCCGCGCTCCCACCGACAGCCTTCTTGGACTTTGCCTTGATGTCCCTCTGAATCTCCTCGATCGACCTCCTATCCCTTGTGGCTCTATCAGGGCACAGTTTCCTCAGGCCCTCAGCTTGAAATTGCGCTTTCAGCTGATCACGGACGCTTCCTTTTCCCTTTCCGTGTCCCTGTCCTTGTCCTTGTACCATCGCCATGGCTCTCGGGTCCTTTTTCAAGCCGTTGGCCATTCCTATTCCGTGTATAGCGATCGTCGGCGCACCACCAAGCCCAGGTCCAGTTCCAGATCCAGCTCTAGCGGTCGCGCGATCGGAACCATGAGCGGGCAGTCGAGACGGCCCAGCTCTACCTGGGGAGCCAGGTGAATCACGAGACTCGACCAAAGCTCTCACCGAGAACAGACTGTCCCCGCCGGACCGTTTGGCCTGCTGAGCAAACGCCTTTGCAGCACGCTCTTTACGCCCGAGCGGTGGAGGGGAAGCGTCCTTGTCCTTGTTCTTGGACGATGAAGAAGGCCCGCCGGACGAAGACTTTGTTCTGCTCGTGGTGGATGAGCTGGATGCTGAGGGGCCAGGATGGGATTGCTTCGAGGAGGTCTGGCGAGCGTTGGCAGGTGATTTGGAGGCGGTGGGTTTCCCGACGGGCTAGAGACAGGGATACATAAGCATGATGCTTCACAAGCTTAGTCCGCAGGCTGGTGCCGCGGTCGTTCATGAAGCAGGTGAAAATCCTCCTCGCCCGGCGATCAAGGATTCACTACGATATATTTGCCGGTTGAAGGCCGGCACTCAGCATCATAAAGATAGGATGACTCACCTTTGTTACGACCGGCGCCCTCCTCTCATCCTCCGCGAAGGGGTTGTACTCCATATCGTTCGAACCTCCATTCTTCTCGTCCTTCTTTTTATTCAGCAGCTCGTTGGCTCGTATGAGCTCTTGTCGACGAGCTTCTCTCGCAGCTGCTTCTTGTCGTTGCCGGCGCTACATCAAGCACGAGGAGAAGCATCATCATCAGCCAAGCCAGAGCGCGCGACTTCTGGAGGTTATGCGGGGACATCACGTACCTCTTCTTCGACTTTGGCGAGCTGCTTCTCCCTCGCTGCTTTCGCGGCCAACTCGCGCCTCAGCTCCTCCTCCTTCTCGCGCTGCAACTCCATCGCACGCGCTTTACGAGCTTGATACTTGGGCGGTCGGGAAGGAGAGCAACGCATTAGTGATTGATAGATCGGCAGCAAGATGATGGTCGTCTCTAGGAGGTTTATGCAGAGACTCACGTCGGACATGGTGACAATAACGGTCAGCGACCGTACTATGAGTGGTGAGCTTTGTGTAGCCGGAGCGCGAAGGAGTTGCTCGACCGCCCAAGTATGTGCGTGAAGTATAACTAGTACATCGGAATTATATCTAGAGACAGTCAAGCACAAGAAGACAGTCTCGGAGAAGCGAGTTATAAAGCGAACGGATACGAAGATGAGGACAAAGATGAAGATTAGATAATCAGACACACATTGAACGGAACGAAGGACAAAAGGTCACAACGTCAATCAATGTCAACGTCACACGCTCGCTATCGAATCCGACCAGAGGCATCACTCATCACATGTCACGTGGCAGTGAGTGTGTGAGCGTGTGAGCATGTGAGCGCTTCCGAGGCACTTCTGTCCTTTCTGATACCTCACATCGAGCTCGCCGTTGATAGTCCCAACAATGATAACTTCACCGGTTCATTGCATGCCAGAGCGGTGAATTATATAGCGTGCCTCACCTCGCTGTGCAACAGGTCGTTCACTTGCATATCAATCTCCGAGCCGTCTTCCGTGTTGAAAGGAGACCCGCAATGAAGCATCTGCTACTAGTACTCACGGGGTTCTCGGACGCATCACATCCACCACTCACATTCTCGGACAGCATCCGCTTGAATGGCCACATGGTCGTGGACCCTGTACGCGTGCTAGGCTTCAAACCAGAGGGTGTCCGAGAACTTGGTAAGTCCAAGAAAGTAGTGACTACGAGTTATGACATGGCCCCGGTATCTATGACCCCGTTGATGACCGCGATGATCGGCTCCGCGTCGGGCGGGCCTCGCTGTTCCACAGGGTGTGAGCAAGCATACCTGGCAATGGCAACACCGCCGCTCCATCACCTAGACCGTATACCGTAGATTAAGTTGTGTGTGTGTATGCGTGGATTCAAGACATTCATCATTTAAAAAAAGGGTCATTGGTCACAACGCGATGACTAAGCTCTTCACAAACGGACCAATGATCTCGGAGACCACGAAGATAGGCTCCAAGCGGACCGATATCCTTCTTCCCATTGATCTGCTCCGAATGCAGTGTCCCCATTGAGATGAGAGGTACATGAACTTGACAAGAGACAGACACGCAGAGGTCGGTCTTTCAACGAACTTCTTTTTATCATCAGCTGCAATTTTACTCACCACAGTTTAGATTGTCATCTTCACAGCGACCTGACGAGCAGCGACCCCCAATGTCTACAAAGTCGATAGCGAGGACGATATGACTCCGATGGAAGTGTTGCAAGAGACCATCGACATTCGTATGGGGTAGAGAGAACCAACTAAAACGGCGTATCGCACCCTTTACGTGAAATATTCAGAGTGAAGGCAGCGACCGACGTGAATGACCGCTCATACAAAATCTACCTATCAACGAATGTACACGAGCACGAAAAGGGCGCTTACAAGCACGTCCAAAAACCGAAGGACGCTCTCGCAATGGGGACCAAGCAACGTGAGTGTATGTTGGCACCCCTGCACAGAAAAACGACCGTTCGCGATCAGTCACTTTCGAGGGGTCGCCTGAATGCAAGTTGGCCACCAGATCGGAGGATATGCCGAAAATACCCCCTTCCGCGCTCAAAAAGCTGCCTCGAGGGCGATTTGAACGCCCGACCCTTGCATTTGAAGGAAAACCTTTGACTTTACGTAAGCGCGTACAAGTGCAAAATCATAACCACTAGACTATCGAGGCACCACCAAATCTAATCTGCCGGGTTTGTGTTCCATTATATACTTTCAACAACGTTTAAGCGCGGCTAGATCCGGTTATATCCGGTTATGCCGCCGGCCGGAACTTGTTTGGGCTGTATCCGCGCTTATGGCGCCCCAGTTAGTCTGTTGATACGCGAAGAGGTGAGATGACATCGCATGTGTCTTTGGCCGCAACCCCGCTGTGTTGTTGCCTTCCACCGATACAGAACTGTAACAATAATGTTCAGCTGACTCGACTCTAGCCATATGATCGTCGCCTATCGCCTATTCAATCGGACAAAGGCGACGACAGAGATGATGCCCAAACTTCTAGAGGAGAAGAAGCGGTTTGACGTAGACACCATGCTTCTGGTCCAGATAAGAATATGGAGCTACTTTTACTCGTCCTTTGTTCCGTCTTCCGTTCATTCACCCTGATCAGTCAGTCATCACGTCGCATCGATCACTCATCAATGACATGACTTGAGCCCCTCATCTCGTCACACTGAATATCGCATACTCGTACAATTCCTTTTTATATCTTTGCCGACCTTCACGTTCAGCCAGCCCCAGCAAGATGTTGCCCTTAACGAGACCGTCAAGACTCGCGGGGTTCCGCTCACTTCATCCTACCTACAGAAGATATCTGACCACCCTCGGTCTGCGGCGAGAAGATCCAAAGAGGATATGGGAGCGTAGGACCGCTCTCACGCCCGCAGCTGTCAAGCAGTTGCTTGAAGAGCAGAACATCGGAGGCGAGGAAGAACTGAAGGTGCAAGTGGAGAGTTGTAAGAGGAGATGCTTCCCCGATGCCCGATATGCAGAGGTAAGTAGTAATTTTGCAGTAGCTTCCTGACACATGTGTAACGTACTGGATTAGCTGATTTTGCTCATAGGCGGGCGCGAGTATCGTGCCAGCCCTGTCCAACGACGTGGACGTAGTACTCGGGATCAAGGAGCCCCCTCTCGCCGACGTACACAAGCTCATCAAGGATGGTGAAAGTAGTGGGAAGCGGAGGAAATGGATGATGTTCTCGCATACACACAAGGGTCAGGTGAGTGGGCGAAATTTATTTACCATGACGTGCTACGAGCTGATGACTGGTCTATCAGGCGTACAACACCCCCCTTCTAGCCTCGTTCCTCTCGTCAACTCGAGGTCAAACCTTGATAGACCACGAGCTACTAACGACACCTTCCGTGGGGGAAGATGGAAAGGAGACCCGGAAGAGGGTGGCAGCGTTCGGATGGTATGCAGGAGGTCAGTGGGCTCGTTTCTGCGACCGAAGCGGTAGAGCGGACAAGCTAATACCACTGGCGCATCGCAGCTGTTGGAGCCGGAGAAGCCTTGTCCATGACGGGCTTGGCACTCTTGAGGAGAGGGATCTCATCACCACTACTCGTGAGTTTAATCCTGCTGGCTTGCCCATAGTTGTCGAGATTTTCTGCTGAGACTACAGCCATATGGTTTTCCAGCACCTCCCACGACCATACACCTCTGGGACATTGGAAGATTTCAAGGCGTCGCTGAGGAGGTGTGGGGAGATAGTTCGTGCCTCTCCCCGTGATGATTTGGGAGATGGGCCTATAGTCGTCGGTTTAACGGGGTGAGTCGGATTATCCCCGCTCGTCTACGTTGCGTTTGGCAATGCTGACATGAAGCAGGCGGGGCAACGTATCGACTGGTGCTGAGGCTATGCTAAATGAGCTGGGCGTGAAATGGGTGGATGCGGAAGACCTGGCCAGTATTAGTGATGCTCGTGAGTTAGACTCGCCCCGCCAAACCCAAAGGAACGAAATCACACTGATCTGGCCGCACTTCGTTGTATTACAGCTCCAAATCAGGTATGTTTAATCATCAATCACCTCGACAACAAATATCCCGGTGCTAAGAATCCAGCAGATCTATGCGTGTGCGATAACCCCGCAATCATATATTGTCGGAGAGGATGGCGCTCCATACGACAGGACGGACTACTACAGCTCTCCAGAGAAGTACACGAGTGTCTTCTCTCAACGGGTGAGTGTCGGCGACCTCTTCCCGCTATTTCCCACGTCCTGATAACAATTTTTTTCATGTCGCTTAGATTGCACCGCATCTCACGACGATCATCAATGGTGTCGGATGGTCCAGCAAGTTCCCTCGAACAATGAGCAACACAGATCTTGAATCCTTGATTAACTCAGCAGGAGGAAAGCAGAAACTGGTTGCTGTACAGGACGTCACTTGCGACAAAGAGGTGAGTTTGTCTTGATTGTGATTTGTATACCAACCCTCGCTCAGTATCCTCTTGTTTCATCTCTAGGGCGGATTCCAATTCGTGGATCAGTTCACGACAATCGATGAGCCTTACAGTGAGGGTCCCAATGGTATTCTGATCAGCAGTATCGATATTCTTCCTACTGAGTTAGGTGAGCGACGTCCCGATTCTCGGTCTGCCCAGTCGCCCCTGCTGACAAAATGGACCTAGCCGCCGACGCTTCCACCCACTTCTCATCCAAAATCCTACCCCTTGTCCGTCGCGCCTTACTCCCAGATTCGAAAGAAGGGGATGCCGTGCAAGAGACTGATACTCTAGAACGAGCCAAAATTGTCGACGATGGTCGGTTGACAGCAGATCACCAATGGCTTGGAGAGCGTGTCGAAGCTTGGCAAGCGGAATCGTCATCGATGTCTTCCGAGAGGTCCGTCAGCACCACAGCCAAACAGCCGAGGGCGGCAAGGGGGAAGAAGAAGGTGTTGTTGCTTGGCAGCGGTCTTGTAGCGGGGCCCGCTGTGGAAGTCTTCGCTTCTAGACCTGATGTTCACCTGGCGATCGGTAAGCTTAAGTTGTTCTTTATCTGGATTCGGAGCTGATAATCGCTTAAGCGAGTAATAACCTCTCGGAGGCTCGGAGTCACCTACATGGGCGATCGAATGTGGAAGCGATCTCTCTGGACGTTAGCGACGAATGGGCCGTAAGCGAAGCCGTCGCAGCTTCAGACGTGGTTGTGAGGTGTGTCATGGATGGGTCAAGGGTCATCAGGACTGCAAATCTGATCGCTGATCGTATCACAACCCCAGCCTGCTGCCTGCACCGATGCACCCTCAAGTGGCGAAGCACTGTATAAGCCACGGCAAGCATTTGGTGACAGCTTCATACGTGTCTCCGGAAATGAAAGCACTTGATCAAGCGTAAGTCCAGCCATCAAGCCATTCTAGGCTTGGCCTGAGTGACTGACGAGGCCGTGGACAGTGCCAAAGAGAAAGACGTTCTTCTTCTCGGGGAATGCGGCTTGGATCCCGGTATCGACTCGATGGCGGCCATGCGCATTCTCGATAAGGTGAAGCGAGAGGGCAAGAAAGTAAAATCGTTCGTTTCGTGGTGTGGCGGTCTGCCGGAGCTATCAGCAAGCAACGTGAGCATCGCCTTGATTAGCAGTACGGGTGAGAGGGAAGCATCAACTGTCCTGCTTGGAGTGCTAAAGACGATGTCGAACCATAGGTACCGCTACGATACAAGTTCTCGTGGAGCCCAAAGGCTGTACTGACAGCAGCCCAGAATGATGCGCACTTCAAATGGGACCACGAGGTCAGTCGCGCTCGGAGATGTCGAAGACCAAGAACAACCAGCTAATATTGGGCCATCTGCACTAGATTGTCAACATACCTGGCAAAGATCTGCTCAAGCGACATTTTCCATCGGTCAAACTCTGGGATGGTCTGCCTCTCGAAGGTCTGGCAAACCGGGACTCGATACCCTACGCTTCCAAGTACGGCTTGGGCGAGGTCGAGGGATTGACGAACCTGTTCAGGGGTACCTTGAGGTGAGGGCCTGAACGGTACTTATTGCCATATGGTGCAGCAGTTGTTGAGCCCGTACCCTGACACTATATCTGGCTTGCAGGTATCAGGGGTTCTCGACATTACTCGATTCATTCCGCCGCTTAGGTCTTCTCCGCTCCGAGGCATTGAAGACCGTACCGGACAGTTGGGAGTCGTTCCTTCTCGCCTCAGCAGGTCGAGAGCTAGAGCACAAGGCAACTTTGAGCTCACGCGATCTGACGAGCGTCATGCGGGACTTACTCGGCAGTAAGCAGGCCGAGGAGACGAACAACGCTTTGCAATGGTGAGTGTGGTCATCATGGTGGCAGTGATCTTGGGTATGAAGTGCTGACTGAGTGAGTTAACTTGCTCTTTAACGCATAGGCTATCCCTCCTACCTACCTCCTCGCCTTCATCTCTGCCTATTCCCAACCTTCGTGCGCCAGTCCCGGTCGATGTCTTCGCTCACCTGCTCTCGCACAAGCTGGCATATGCGCCAGGAGAGAGAGACACATGTCTTCTCCATCATTCTTTCACCTTGGCACATCCCCAGGATCAAAGGCAGCAGGAGGTGACGGCTTCATTGCTATGTTACGGTGACGACAAGGCGTCAGCTATGAGCGTCACAGTCGGCAAAACTCTAGCATTCGCTGCCCTGCGGGTCGTAGATGGTCTTGTGAAGGGCCGTGGGGTCATGGGCCCTTACGAGAGAGAGGTGTGGGAAGGCACGCTTGAGAAGTTGGAAGAAGTCGGTGTGGTCGTGGAAGAAAAGTGGTCATGAGCTCTGAGCCGCAGCGCAGATATGCAGACGAGACATTGACTAGGAGAGAAGAGGATACCACGCATGCATGCCCCAATATGCGCTGTATCTGATGAGCGAAGCTGGCTCAAACGAAAACGGATCAGTCAATTCATCCAACAGGCGGAAAATCCAACATCGAATACTGAAAAGAGGACATTGCTTCGTCAGGTCGTACAGCCATACTTGCCGAGAAGCATGCATGCAACATCATAGCCGGCTGTATCTTCGAGAGTTCTGACTGGATTTCCGTATTTTACACGAACAAAGAAGGTTTGAAAAGCTGGAAGAAGTACGATTGTGAGGATATGAGAAGAAACGTCCACGGTGGATCACCCCCTTCTACAGTATGTACAGGACCCGCGCACCCCACCCCCCTCCCCCCTCCACCGTGTGA